CTCTAGTTACTCTTTTACCCTTAATGTACTTACAGAATCTCTTTGGATTCTCCTTAATTCTATTTGCCAAATCTATCTCATGTCCCCATTTTGCTCTCCTGATTTTCCTCTTCAGTATCCTCCTCCTGCCCTATACTCCTCGAGGGATTCACTCAATCCCAGCTATCTATACCTGACATATGCTTCTTTCTTTTTCTTGACCAGAGCCTCAATTTCTCTAGTCATTCCCTACACCTGCCAGCCTTGCCCTTCACACTAACATACTGTCCCTGAACTCTCATTATCTTATTTTTAAAGACCTCCCACTTCCCAACCATTCCTTTACTTGTGAATAGTCTATCACAATCAACTTTTGGAAGTTCTGTCTAATACAATCAAAATTGGCTTTACTCCAATTTAGAACTTTTAACTGTTTGATCAATTGTATCCTTTCCCATAACTATTTTAAAACTAATAGTATTATGATCACTTGCCCCAAAGTGCTCCCCCGCTGAAATGTCAGTCACTTGCATTGCCTTATTTCCCAAGAGAAAGTCAAGTTTTGTTCCTTCTCTAGTGGGTATACCTGCATATTGAATAAGAAAGTTTTTCTTGTGCACAGTTAACAAATTCCTCCCAATCCAAGATCTTAACACTAGATCCTCCAAGATCCTCGCTATCAATGACAGAAACCTTTTACTTGTCAACTGAACAGCTTGGGAACAAGATAAAGAAGAAATGATTTGATCTCCACTAGCTTAGAAGAGCCACCTTTCTCCATAATTTGCAGCCAAAATCCACTTTAAGCCCAAAGAAAATCAATTAATCTTTCCTTGTGCAGTTGTTGTAAGCTGTGATTCTCAATTGATAAGTCAGAGTCCTTTTATAAGCAAATCTGCTACACTGTGTCTCTTGCAAACCAATGGAATCATCTCAGGAAGATAACTGAAAAATCAATGTTTTGACCAGCATAAGAATCAGAAGGATCATCTCAACAACCTACTGAACTGCATCCCAGGTTTCCTCTGCCCATAACCTATTTTTCTCTGTCTGTTTGCCTCTGTGTGTCTGTGTCAGGAGGAGTTTATAAGGGGATTAGAGTTTTAATTAGTGTTATATGCTGACAGTTTAGAACCGTTCACTTAAAATCTAATTACTTGTAATAAATATTAATTGTTTTTTTAAGTACAGAAACCTGATTCATTCTGTCTATAAACCTGAGTCTGGCAGTCATGTAGATCAGGGAATTTTGTGTACTTAGTTAAATTCTCTAACCTTTGTGATGCCTCTGAGAATAACAGGCTTTATTTCCAGCACGTCAATGAGCAGTGACAATTCACACAAAGAGCACAGTTGTAGACAAATTAGATATATAGGGGCCTATCAGCTAACTTGGAATCTCTGCTTATTATGGATTTGTGGTCACTGTAATTTGAATTGTGAGGAGAATGTTCAAGATGATGTTCAACAGGATGTTCATGAGGCCTTTTCTGGAGTACTGTGTCCAGTTCTGGTCTCCCTGTTGTTGGAAGGATATTTATTAAGCTGGATAGGGTTCAGAAGAGATTTACCAGGATGTTGCCAGGGATAGGGGGAGTTGGGGTTATAAGGAGAGGCTGGATGGGCTGGGACTTTTTACACTAGAATGTAGGAAGTTGAGAAGTGACCTTATACAGGTTTATAAAATCACGGGAGGTATAGATAAAGTGAATGGCAGGTGTCTTTTCCTTAGGGTGGGGGATTTCAACATTAGGGGGCATATTTTGAGGTGAGAGGAGAAAGATTTAAAAAAGAAATGAGGGGCAATTCTTTTACACATACAGTGGTTCATGTGTGGAATGAACTTCCAGACGAAGTGGTGGATGCATGTACCGTTACCACGTTTAAATGACATTTAGGTAAGTACATAAATAAGAAGGATATGGGCCAAGTTCAGGCAGGTGGGACTAATTTAGTTTGGGATTATGGACAGAGTGGACTGGTTGGACCAAAAGGTCTATTTCCATGCTATATGACCGTATGACATAGACCAGTGGAATGGGCAATAAAGTGGCAAACAAAATGTAATGCAGAGAAGCATGATGCAATTCATCTTAGCAGATAGAACCATAAGAGGTCAGATAAAATAAGAACAACTATTGTAAAGGGAACGGAGGAGTAGAGAGCCTGATGTGGTAAATGTGCACAAGCCACTGAATTTGGCAGTGTAGGCTGAGGAAGTGGTTAATAAACAATAGCAGCATCCTGAGCTTTCTAAATGTAAGTGTTCAAAGCAAGGATATTATGATAAACCTGGAGTGATTTGTGCAATCCTAGACACTACACTTCTGTACAGATATGAGGGAATTTAATTAGGGTGCTGAAAAGAATTAAAACACATTTCCAGGGATGAGGGATTTTAGTTATATGAACGAAGTGGAGCTGCTGGAACTGCTCACTTGGGCAAAAGCTAAGAGGAGATTTAACGGAAGCACAGGAGTCCCTGATTTATGAACACTCCAACTTACAAATTCTCATAATTACAAATGCAATCCCACCCATGGTTGTAATTTTAAAGACCAAACATATGAACATTTCCCGCACTTAAAAATGGCAGCATTTATTTGCTGCAGACTGCTGAATGAAAGTTGCTCGCAACCTAGGAACTGCCTGTCTTCAGAGTCGTGAGGGGACTGGACAACGTGGGTAGTGAGAAATTGTTGGAAGCTTCAAGAACAATGGGACACAGATTTAAGGTATGGCAAAAGAAGCTAAGGTGGCGCAAGGAAGACTTTTTTTTCAGTGCATGGTCAAGATTTGAAATATACAGCCTGAGAGCGTAGTGGAGGCGAATTCAATCCAGCATTTAAAAGAGAATTAGATAATTATTTGAAGAGGAAAGATATGCAGGGCTATCAGGAAAATGCAGAGGGGAGACAATAAGTGAACATAGGAATATCGGAGCATGCTTGATGGCCCACTCTTGCTCCTCAAATAAATATAATCATGGCTGATCATCCACTCCAATATTCTTCTCCACATAATTGTCTGTATAACGGACCTCTCATATATTCGAGTTGATTTTTGTCTACACCTTCTCTGTAGATGTAACATTTACATTCTGTTCAATTACCCTGATGTACTTATATAAGATATGATTTGTCTCGTTAGCAAACAAACAATACTTTTCTCTGCATCTCAGTACGTGATAATAGTAAATCAAATCAAATCATTGGTATTTATTAAATAAAAACCAAAACAACTACAGATACTGTAAAACAGAAACAAAAACAGAAATTGCTGGAAAAGCTCAGCAGGTCTGGCAGCATCTGTGAAGAGAAATCAAAGTTAACGTTTTGGGTCCTGTGACCCTTCCTGAGAAAGGTCCACACTGCTTCCTCACTGTAGGGATAACCTGACAGGCAGACATGAACATAAGAGCAGAACAGCACTGGGACTGCCTGCCTAGATTTGATGAATAGGCTCTTGTGATGCAGTGGTAGTGTCTCTTTCTCTGATGCAGGCAGTTCAAGTTCCACCTGCTCCAGAAGTAAGTAACAGCATCTCTCAACTGGTTAATTTGGAAAATATCTAGATTTGTTGATCAAATCCCTGGTCTCGGGTTTGAGACCAAAACATTTTGATGACCGTGGATGAATCATAGAGCCATTCAGCACAGAAACAGACCCTTTGGTCCAACTCATCCACACTGATCTAGTTTTCCAAACTAAACTAGCTCCATTTACCTGCATTTGGCCCATATCCCTCTAAACCTTTCCTATTCATGTATCTATCCAAATGTCATTTAAATGTAACTGTACCTGCATCTATCACTTTCTCAGACAGTTCATTCCACATATGAACCACCATTTATGTGGAAAATTGCCTCTCAGGTCCCTTTTAAATCATTCTCCTCTCACCTAAAAAGCATGCCCTGTAATTTTGATCTTCCTTATCAAAAGGAAAAGACCTTTGCTATTCACTTTATCTATGTCCCTCGTGATTTTATAAACCTCCATAAGGTTACTCCACAACCTCTTATGCCTCAGGGAAAAGGTCTCAGCCTATCCAACTGCTCCTTATAACTGAAACCCTCCAGTCCTAGCAACTTCCTCCACAGCGATGCATATGAAAAAGGCAGGGGACAAAAAAGGTCATGAGAGGTGGGGAAAAGGCAACAGTGGAAAGGAATAAAAAGTATCAAAAACAGAAATTGCTGGAATAGTTCAGCAGGTCTTTGACCCTTCACTCAACCAGAAATTTTAACTCTGATTTCTCCCCACAGATGCTGGCAGACCTACTGAGCTTTTCCAGAAATTTCTGTTTTTGTTTCTGATTTATAGCATCTGCAGTTCTTTCAGTTTTTATTCAGGAATGAAAGGCAATGTTGCCACAATTTTATAAAACCTTATGGCTGCTCTCTTATTGGAAAGAGGTAACTGAAGGCCACCCATCTTCAGGTGTGGGGAGAGGTTGAGGAAGGGAACCCTTCATGGTAACCTCAACTGGCATGGGAATGAAACCCATAGTCCTGACAATCATTCTGCATCGCATCAGACTAAGACTATCCTCCCCGCCCCAGCAGAACACGTCAAGGCGCCGTCAAATATAAATTAAATACCCTGCCGTTCAGTCCTCCCGACGCTAGATGGCGACGGGATGGCTGACTGGGGAGCACGCAAGCCGCGGTTCGCGCGCCTGCGCCTCGTCGGACCCCGAGCATCCAATCGGAAATATATTCTAATCGATGATAAGAAGAATCTAACGTCACGCGGCGGCCCTTCTACGCCGGTGGGGACGAAAGTAGAACGGGGAAGTGGGCGTGGTCTGGTGTGGGTGGGGCCGGAGTCAAATATATGCTAATCGGGCGACACCCGATTGGCAGCAGGGGCCGTTTCTCCGCCTCACCCCGCCATGGGTAATGAATATTCAATGAAGCGGAGGAGGCGGGCCCAGGATCGTCGCCGTAGCCGTTAGTCAGCCGGGTATTTTTTTCAATGATTATATCAAGGGGGCGGGGGGGGCAGGGGGAGGGGGGTGTGAGATAGAGAGCAGGGATTAAAAAAAAGAGAGAAGGCCGGGCGGGCGGTCTGGAGTGATTCGCAATCCGTCTCCATCCGGAGCCCGGCGTGGCGTAATTTATCTTTTTCGTTCGCTATCCAGACAGCGTCGGCCCGGAAGAAGGAGCCCGGGTGAGTATTGCGGGCCGATGGTTGCCGGTTGGGCGGTTAATCGGCGGAGTTTTTATTTGAAATGTCTGCTGCCGGGGAGGATTCCGGCCTAGAGCTCCGGCGCCATTTTGTTCTCAGGATGTTTCGGGCAGAGAGGGAGGGAGAGAGAGAGAGAGACCGGCCGGCGGCCTACTCAACGAAGCGGGGTTTTGAGGAGGTGGGAGAGACATTTATAAGCCATCCCCTTGTTTCCTTTAGGGAAGGAAGCGGCGAATACAACCCCCCCCCCTTCTCCATTTATAATCCTTATGCAGTAAAATGTATGCAGTACCTCTCACTGACATCAAATTTTAAAAACGCATGTTGACAAGAGGAGCTCAGAATTTTATACCCAGTGCTTTCTTTTATTATTTTTTTTCTGTTTCCAGCGTAGTGAAGTTATGAATAAATCCCATCCAACCGATTTACCAGATATTTACTCTCCTGGTACTGTTGGTTCCCTTTTATTTTTTAACAGTATCGATTATGCATTTGTGTTGAGTTCCTTGCTTCCGTCCGGGAGCATTTAATGTTCGAATTTGAAAATAAATTGGTAGTTTATGATGACTTGTGCTTAATTTGGCTGGTTGTTAGGGGATGAGGGAGCGTGAGGTAGTTTCTGTTTACCCTGTGATTTCTCAATTTTATGAGCGTAGACCTTCATTTGCTGGGGTCTGTATACTGAGATATTTGGGCGCCAGCTTTTTTTATTTTTATCATGCATTTTAATGGTTATCTTAAAGAGAGAGAAGTTGTTGTTGGAAGGGCTTTTGATTTTTGAAATTGATAAACGTGTAGTATACTGGATTTTGAAAGGCATCGGGTGTGTGTGGTTCATGAAGGTGCTGTGCAAATTCGTGCTAAAGCTGCGACCTTCGACTATCTAACCCTCAACTGAGAGGCAGTACATGTATTTTACTGGATAAAGTTTGTAAATAGAGGAGGAGAAAGGGGTTAGGGCGGGAGGGTGGGTGTGGAGGTGTGGAAGTTTCTGCTTCCATCTCTAAAGGAAATGCGGATGGTTTAGAAATGTTGCCCCTCCCCTTGCTTCACCACCTCCCCCAGATTTTAATCAATCTGATCGTTACTATGCTTATGTTTTTGTGTGGCCTGCTTTTTGTTGTTTGTTTGTTTGTTTGGTTTATTTAAAGTGTAATTTTGCATTGCAATTTCACATCATCCCGGTAGCATTGATTTTCCTTTCCTCCTGTGCGCGTGTTCAATGGGTCTTCATCCCAAGATCCCCTTTTGATAACCGTAATCTTCCTTCCACCCTCCTTTTTCTCCTCATCACGAGTGACCATCTTTCAGTCTCATACTGTATATGCATTTGTTACGTAGATGCTATACAAAAAGCAATGGAAAATAAAGTTACCCAACTACTGAAACGAGTCAATAGGCCCATAACATTTTTAAAAACAAACAAATGTCATGGTTGTATGAGAGATCTGTTCACATACTATGCTTTTATTTTAAAAACTTGCATTTATTTTGTAATTTTTAATGCCCTGGAGATGGCCGAACATGCCTTTATCATTACGTTTGAAATGTGGTCAGTTATATCTGTAGGTAGATGGGAAAGCTAGTCTTTCAAATACATGATTGCTCAACCAGCAGTGAGGTAAATGACTAGTTAATCTGCATGTTGCTTACAGAAGAAATATTACCAGCAAAAATGCTCTTTGTGCCTACAAAAGATCTCTCCACACCCTGATGAGCAGAGAAGAACTCCATTTTTGCATTGCCCGTTCTGAAAGATTGCATCCAGGGCTCCTCTGTGCCATGCTGAAGTGCTGATATAGATTTTGTCTAGGCTCCTGGGCTTGAAACCATGAAGTTTTCTCTTGGGGAAGTGTGCTACCACTGAGCCAAAAGATACCCTTGCTGAAGTCAAAATTCTGGTAGTCTTGTAGACTATTCTGGTCATGAGTGTCTTGAATTCTTGGAAATTTATCATACCAAGGGGTGAAATTCTCTCGTTTGTTGTTTTAATGTGGTTTACTTGAAAAATTAGTAATAGTGGCAGAATTGTTACATAATACCCAACACTGCTTTCTTTCCACTACCTCTTCACCTGTGGTATTTGCACAAAAGCATTTCTTATTCATTGCCGTCTAACTGAGGGATAATATGACTGACCACTTCTTTCTGTCAATTAACATAGTGATCTGCCACTAGGCTTGACAAATCGTGATCTATATACAGGGGGCATAATTTAAGCATAAGGGGTGCAGAGTGTTTAGGGCTGAGAAGAAAAATGGTTTCACGTAGAGAGTGGTGAATCTTTGGAATTCCCTATCCCAGAGGATGACTAGAGGCTTAGTCACTGAATATATTCAGAGATCGATAGCTTTAACACCTGTCAGTCCTATCAAGGGATATAGGAGTAGTGTTCCTATAGGAAGGATGTTGTGAAACTTGAAAGGGTTCAGAAAAGACTTACAAGGAAGTTGCCATGGTTGGAGGGTTTGAGCTGCAGGGAGAGGCTGAATAGGCTGGGGCTATTTTCCCTGGAGTGTCAGAGGCTGAGGAGTGATTTTTGTAGAAGTTATGAGATCATGAGTGGATAGGGTGATTAGCCAAGGTCTTTTCCTTGGGGTGGGGAGTCCAAAACTAGAGGGTGTAGGTCTAAGGTGAGGGGAAAGATTTAAAAGGGACCATGCAGTGGGTGGTGTATGAATGGAATGAGCTGCCAGAGGAAGTAGTGGATGCTGGTACAATTACAAAATGTAAAAGGCATCTGGTTAGGTATATGAATAGAAAGGGTTTAGAGGGATATTGGCCAAATCTATTTGGTTAGCATGGGCGAGTTGGGCCGAAGGGTCTGTTTTCATGCTGTACAGCTCTGACTCTTGAGTGGAAGATTAGCCATGGTCTAGCTGAATGGTAAATGTGGCTAGCAGGGCCAAATGGCCATCGCCTCTTTTCAGTGTGCTCATTGTTTCATCCATACAGTATTAAGACCATTACGTTGCTGTGACTGAGTGTACTATGTCTTGAATTCTGTTTAATAGTTTGGCTTTTGGGATTTTAGTGTCATTGGAGGTTGTGATTTTAAATTTACCCTGTTGATATCCTGTAAAAAATGATCAAGAGCTTCTTCTAAATTTGATCAAATGACTGAGGAAATTTTTTTTTTCCCTTGTGCAAACAAACCCCTCTAATTTATTGATTTATTTTTTTTTGTTCTGTAGACTGTATTACTGAGTACATTTTGTAAGTGAAATCAGACTGGTTAGACCATCTGCGAGAGCCTTCATGGATATTGACTTTTGTTTACAGGTTAATGTTACTTTGATTTTTTTTTTGTTAGGTGGAGTATCATTGGTTTCTTTTCCTTGGTATGTGTTGCTTTTGGTCCAAGTTGTTGATTTACCTGCCTCACCCTCCCTGCTGTGGAGGGCTGCAATTGTTATTGTGATGTCACTAAAGCCTTTTTATAGTAGTATGGGCTTGGAGACAGGCACCTAGGCCCTAGGGCTCAATACAAACCTCACCTAAAGTTGCTTCTTACTAAAGTAAGTGAACCCAAAAAGTTTCACTGACTTCAGCTGAGTAAGTAGCTGCTTCAGATCTCACTAACCTATTGAGCCATTGTAGGTAGAAAATGGTGGTGAAGACAGTGTTCTTGCATTGTAGTTGTGAATTCTCTAATCGTTTCTGATTGAAGCAGGCCCTGCCAATGCAGCACTTGGACTTAGGTAAGCTTCAGTACAAATCCTAATTCTGCATGTGGGCTTTCTTCTTTTTCTATGTTCTCCTATCCAGTACTTTAAACTTCCCTGAAGTTTAGCCAAAGCAGTGACTGTATGGAACTTCACCTTTTGATGACACTGGCTAAAATATTCCTGTTTTTAGCGTTTATTGAGTGGGCAGTCTGTTTTCCTATACTGATAGTCACAATACAAGTAATTTTAACTCTGCTAATTTTAGTTTTCCTTTAATTCTCTTTCATACCTCTAACGTCCATTGTATGTGGGACCAGCTTGGTTTTGATTATTGGATTCTAGATTGGGACAGCTACAGTGCAAGAGCTGCAAGTTCCTAGTTTGTTTTTCTTATCTTGGACAATTGTCATTGAAACGTTGTAGAGGAGGAGAAGAGATTGCTTTAGCGCTTGACTTGGGCCTGGTGAACTCTTAAGAGCAAACAGTTCCTCTTTAAGATGGACCAGTGTAACCTTGGCATTCTGTTGTTTTAGTTGGACTTCTTTGTCCATACGTTTTCCATCATCGGTGGTGTTGCGTGGCTCCGATTCTCCCTTTGCCGAAAACTCGTAAAAGCGTTTGTTGTTTCTGACTGGACCTTCCAAGTTCTGTCATCACCTGTGGCCTGGTTCTATCCGCTGCACCTTGACCTTGTTCAAACCTGGGCTGCCTGTATCCTAATTTGCACCAAGGCCCATTCTCTCATAACTGTAACTGTTCACTAGCTATGTGAACTCCTCATCAGTCCGGTTGTGTTATATTTCACATCCTAATCCTTGCATTCAGATCCTTCCATGCCATCTCCATATCTCTAACTTCCAGTCCTACAGCCATGTTCAGGGATAACAAGGTGTAGAGCTGGATGAACACAGCAGGCCGAGCAGGAAGGCTGACGTTTCGGGCCTAGA